AGAAATACATTTACGGGATGAACAATTTGAATTATATATTCCCATAGCACTCCCTCCCCCTCCCGCCCTTTGCCCCATTCAAAACTCACTCATGTGAATAACTGATGATGGGTTCAAATTGATTGCACACTCACTCCTACGCCTCTCCTGTATCCACCCCTTCCCCCCACCGCCCCAGCCAACATTCGTGCACAACAATGTCCACAAATTAATGAAAATGTTTTTCTTTCCCCCAGTTTTTATGGGATGAGTGTGTTTTTTTTTCGTTATTGAAACTAGTCTAAATAAATGGATTCTTATCGCTTGTCCAAGGACTTGAATGAAAATTTAATTAGCTCTTAATAGGCGACATGAAATCATAATTAAATGGGAAAATGTACATATACGTATATGTAGAACAAATCTGTTTGGATTGCAAAATAAACAGATTTATCTAGTACGAGTATTCAGTAATTTTTTTTAATTGAAAGACTCTGATTTTTCGCCATTTAAAATCCATATTCCATGCTATCCACAGATGCATAAATGCTCTGCTTAGTTTGGAAAATTTAAGTTTTCTGCTTAGCCCCGACCGCATCCACTCTGGACCACTCTGGAAGCTGTATACCTTCTGTGTGGGGTAAGCCTGACTGTGCGCTTCGTTGGCTTCTCGACTCCAGCACTCAAAATGTTGACCAGAGAGAGGCAGAGAGAAAGAGAGAGAGATAGAGAGAGGGATGGGATGGGATGGGATAGAGAGTACTGTTCCAACGAGCGAACGCAGGCCATTACCATCCATTTGTCCGATTTTTGAAGTGTACATCACTTTGCCATTCTAATCTAATCCGATGCGTTGGGCTGGCTTTGGCTCTTGGCTCTCGGTTCAGTCCCAATCTCAGTACAGCACGCAGCAAAGAAAAAACAACATTATATCTCTGCACACCCCCACAGCCCCACAGCCCGGAATATCCCCATCATTTTCTTGGTTAGCTTCCATCCTTCGTTGATGCTGTGTTGTGTCTGTGGCTTACCCAATATCTGTCGTTGTTGTTTCTGTGGTCTGTGTTATGTCTTCCCCACTGACGCCCGCCCGGTTGATGCTGTGCGGCTTTTATCATCTACTTGCCACTTGCAACTTGCCGGTTGCATCTTGCCCCGGACAACATTAAATTTGTGTGCGGTCAGGGTGTTTGCCTCTTGACTTCCGGAGCAGACAAGATGCTCTCGCATGATATTCAGTTACAACTTTATTAAAAACCCAAACATTTTGTCAATTTTCCCCAACTCAAAGCAAAGGATTTATTAAATTTTAGAAAATTCACTGGGAAATGTATAAACATTTCAGAGATTATATCTGCAATTTGAAACGAGAAGAGAAGTATGCACTATACATGTACGAGTAGGTATTTATGTGTTTGCTCATGGCCACGATTCACTGTCTGCAGATTTCGCTGCTAGTCTCCTACCTACCTACCCCCTACAAGAATAATCGTAGTAGTTTTGGCTTTTATTTACGATGGCATGGAGTGCATGAAAGTCTTCTTGGACTCTTACTTGTTGTACTTTCAGGAATGAAAACAAATTATAATTTTGAAAATCTTCAGCACGCAATCGAATCGGCGTTTATGTTGAAAGCATTCAATCAGCGAACGTTGATTTAATTTCACTTTGAGCAACGTTGACATTCTTCTGGAATTTGCTGATTTAACCTTTCCCTGCCCTGCCCTCTGCCACCTTCCCTTTGCACTTCAGCCCGCAGCAATATGCTGATTGCTCCCCCGCTGCTGCCCCTTTACCTTTGCACATTACAAATGCATTTGCATGCATCTTCCCGTGTACATGTCGAGGTCCGTTCCCATTCCGCATTCCCCCTCTTGCCTTTGCCATCCACCACTCACCCACTCACACACACACACACACACACACCCACCCATACCCACACCCACACCCACACTTACCCGCATTTAGTGCACTGACGCCGGAGGAGCTGTTGGCGGTGGACGTGGACATGGACGTGGAGGAGACGCCAACTCCCTGTGGCAGGTGACCAGCGGCAATTAAATTTGAGTTATTCGCATGGATCATGGCTGGGCCGGGCATAGAGTTGGCGTTGGCTGTGCCTCCGATGCCATTCGGCAATTGTGGCTGTGGCAGACCGACGACCTCGCTCTTCCCAGGATATAACGGTGGTCGATGCTGCTGCTGCTGCTGCTGTTGCTGCTGCTGGTTGTCGATGGTCATGGGTGGAGTAAGTGTCTGATTGCTGCCATTCGAGCTGGCCGGCGAGGAGCTGCTGTCGTTGCCGGGCGTGAGGTCTCGCTTGCTGCTGAGCACCAAGGGCGATGGTTTGGCTGGTGCTCCACCCACTGTTGCAGGTGGTGCTCCGGCTGCTGTTCCTCCGGCTGCTGTTGCTGCTGCAGCTGAGGTGGAGGCCGTTACAGAGTTATCCAGCGATAGCAGCGGCCTTATGGGCTTATTGTTGTTCACGGAGCCGGACTTCTCCTTGATCAGACTCGAGTCCAGCGATTTGACAATTTTCTGCAAAGTAAATTGAAAGGATTCTATGACATCCACTTTAGATTCAATGATTCTGCAGGCCAAAAGGTAAGTAAGAGCAGATAAGACAGAGAAAGAGCAAAAGCAGAGAGAGAGAGAGAGAGAGGCGACAGCGAGGGCCCAGAAGTTGTCAATGGGAGAGGGGTGGGGGATAGATGCAGATGTGGGGAATTTGTTCTACAAGAGAGGAAGCTTAAATAGTGTGCCAAGTAGCGTAGGGGAGGGGAGGGGGAGGAACTGGAAGCTGAGGCATGCAATTGGAGTGGAGAGCCCTCTGCTCGGTAGTGGACCCCCCACCACCGCCCTCAATTCTAACGAGCAATGAATGAGTCCAATTAGATAAAACATCAAGTGAGGTTGGAATTTTATTCGGTAATAATTTTGCTTGGTTTGAGCGGTTGGAGGAGTGGGGGGTAGCGATGGATTGCGGGGTTGCTTGTGGTACTTACGGATTCGCTGAGCTTGTGCAGTGAGGCATTTATGCGATCCGGATTGCGCGGCGGTGGCTCTGGTGGCTCTGATGCGGCCATCGTGGGTCCGGCAGCGACACCGTTTATTTGCATGCTTCAGAAACACGGAAAAACCTAAACACACACACACACACACACACCACACACACACAGACAGACAAGTGCACAACTACATTAAGGCACACTCAGAGCAGCACAAAAATATCGCGTGTCTCTCTGTGGATGGATGGGTGGGTTGGCTCTGTGTGTGTGTGTGTGTGCTCTTCTTATTGCTGTGCTGGAAAACAACTTTCAACTGCCACAAATCTGCACTAATCGAGGCTCAAACATTCTGACTTGACACTAGCTCAGGACACACAACACAGGACACAGGACACGGGGCACAGGGGGCACCGGGAAAATACGTACTGGAAGCTGCCTAGGACTCTGGATGCCGTTTCTATGCGAGTTCTCTATCAATTATGAGGTGGGCCTCCGTCAGCTCTTGACCTGCAAATAAATAAAATGGAAATTTTTATTTTGTGTTGAATTCATGTTGCATATGCAGAGGTTTTTTTTTTAACGTTACAGCTACAGTTTTGGGGTAATTCTGGGTACTTGCAGGACATTCAGTTGCAGAGATATTTATGCATCCAGAATTTGTTTAGCAACTGCAGTCAAAATACTCCTCGTATTCCCAGAGCTTTCTTATGTGGTAGGTAAAAAGAAATATTCTTTATGAAATTTTATTCTCCATTTCAGCAATTATATGAAATAAAAACCTAGCAGAGGGTATTCTATAGTCCGTTATCAAATTCGTTTCTCGCTTTTTCGTCCCCTGGGAGACGGAACTAATTTGTGTTGAGAGTGGACTGCTGCACGTGTGTGTCACCATTGATGCCCATAAAAACAGTAAGTTTTGCAGTCCCCGAGCCAGCTTAGTGGTTGGTATGTAGGCCAGTGCTGGCCATAAACTTCCATTTGGGCTATTTTTTTTTTCCTTTTCTTTTTTGTTCTTGTTGTCAGCATTGCATGTCAACACCCAGTTCAGTTCCACACTGCACTGCGGCCTCAGCTCAGTAAAAGTTGAGTTTGCCCATTCAACCTTTTGGGTCAGAGCGAGAACCAAGTGGGGTGTGGGCGAAGACAGGGTGGTGGTCCTAGCGACTGACAGCGCACAAAGAGAAAGAAAATGGCTGGGAGCATTCAAAGCTTGGAATCATAAAAGAAACGGAATGCAAAATGGAACTAATTATACAGTAGTAGTTGGTCTTGTCTTGTGTCGGGACCCTCACACGGAGGCATTCGGGCTTACAAGAGCTTATTCGTAAGTATTATTCACGTATATCTGGTAGCTCAATTGGCAACGCAACCAGCTCGCGAAAGCTCAATGGCCCACTCCCACTCCCATGCCATCCCATCCCATCCGATTCACTCTACAATTCCAATTTTAATCCGCTTTAAGGCGCAGACCAACGGCCACCAAGAGATGGCCAGCAAAATATGTTGTGGTCATGTTTTGGCTTTCCTCTTCTTTTTTTCCCCACTTTATCCCCAGAAATTCATGATGTAAATGGCTGCTGGACGGGCGCCTGGACTGCCTCACATACGATATGCCAGACTTAAGCCGCCAAGAGCTGCAGACTCCACCTGAGCCCAGCACCTTGCCCGAGAACCCACAAACATTTATCTGAACGCTGGGATATAGGGATATGGGGTCGCCCGGGGGCAGGGAACTAGCACTAATGTGGTGTGGGCCACACAAGCAGAAACTTTAATCATAATAATAACAAGTAACTTTTGTGTTATATCCGAGCCACGGACACGGACACAGATGAAGTTCTGTGGAGTTCCGGTTAGGGTAGGGTCGGAATGGGTCTGGTCTGCACTGTGGCTCGCTTAATAGGGATATTTATGGTGTACATATGTACGTACACACAGATACATATGTACTAGTATATGTACTATAAGCTTTAGCTACATGCAAAAATGTGACGCTTGGAAAAATCTGTCAGAATTGACGAGCTTTTAGTTTGATATTGTGTAATTCAAATATTATTCAAACAATCATTGAATAAATTCTATGGAAAATTTTAAGTATGTATCAGTATTTTGGAAAAGTTTATGCGGAGGAATTAAGTCGTCCCGACAACGTGGCCTTCTATGTGCACTGCAAGGATCCGGTGAATGACGAGCTGCCGGAGTGCCTGCTCCGAAAACGCAGCCAACCCACCCGCCTGCAACTGGAGCTGAAGCAGCAGTTGGCTGCGGAGCGTCGCTCCTTTCTGGAGGAGCAGAAGAGCTATCACCTGTCGATGCACTTGGCCAAGGTGGCGCTGGTCGTTGATAGACACCATCGTCACACCGCAAGCTCCCTGCAGGCCTTCGAGCACCGCATCAGCCGCGACATGAACGAGCATGTGCGGAGGCGCACGGAGGTACTCGACGCCCGCCTAAAGAGGCTGAGCCAGCATATCAGTGCCGTGGGTGAGCGCTGCGATCTGGTCAGGCATGAGAAGTTCCTCAAGAATCTGACAGATATCTACATAGCGAGCAGCTCAGTGAAACTTTCGAAATAAACACAGAACTAAAGAAGCTTTTTCTGTGCTCTGGCTCTGGTGCACGCCTTCAAAGTTATCAATTGTCCACGCAAAACTTTGCCCGCAGTTGGAGTCTCTGTGTCTGTCTTCGTTCGACAGTGTTCGACATAGTTGCGGAAAATCGCTTGTCAACTATCCAACAATTCAGGACTTGGTTTTCTTATACCCTCAGTTAGTACAGTCCAGAAGTTAGCCCTGCACCCAATGAATAACTATTAAGTGTTTTATTTCCCATCAGCGTAATAGATAGGTCGAGCGATAAGCTGATTAAAATATATCTACAGCCTATAGTTTTTGTGCAGATAATACTCATAATGTTTCTCTAAGGTATTCCAGATTCGTACATTGAAAACAGGATTTAAATCTTTTTATAAACGTTCTTAACTGCTCGGAAAAAAGGAGCCACTCTCGTTGTCCGAACTTGGACAGTAGTTTGCATTACATTAGCAGAAACTTCTGGCTTGCCGTCGGTCGTAATTTGTGTGAGATCTTGGCCAATTAGCCTCCGTCTGAGAGCTACCCTCAGTGCCAGAGCTGCCCAGCGTCAAAGGCAGGTCGGTCCCGCTTATGTGCACTCGACTGCAAGTGGATGCTGGAGTGTGAGTGCTGCTGTACTCAGTCCAGTGTAACGTGTATCTGTGTGTTGTCTGTGCATCTGTTGGGCAGCGTTTGTCCCCCCAACACCAAGTTCAGTTGGAGCACTTGACCTGTTTCTGCTTGGGTATTCGATTTGTGGCCTGCCAGTGACGATGCTTATGCAGTTGCATTCTTATTCAATTAAACTCTAGGGTCTTTTGTGCGTCCTTTCGTATAAGACTACTCTGTGTGCGTGTGTAAGCCACTTATCAAAGAGCTCTAAAGTATGCTTCAAAATTGGTTTTAGTATGTCCGAGGCGCAGGACGGACTAGTAAAAGAGCCAAATGGGTTTATAGTATTTGAGCTTCATAAAGTCACTTTTATTTGAAACTATCAAGAGCTTAGTAGAAAATTTTCTGTTTCCAATATATTGTTGTTTTTAAATTTTCACAAATGAATTGCTTTCAACAGTTTTATTTTAACTGCGAGCAGTATAAAGTCTAAGCAACAAAGGAATTATCAAGGAATTATCTGTCATAATAGAAGATTTTCTATGCATAGATTAGTTAGAGCCAAAATGTATCCAAACGTAACAATTTTAGCCCCAAATATGCACAACAGGAAAAAGCAACTAGTTCTAGTTTTTCGTTTATATCCATCCTGTGTCAGATTCGTTTGGAATTTGCATGAGAATCGCATCGGAAATGTATGCAAATTAATGCGTTTTTGAGTGCTGCTTTTGGGGCATGAACAATATTACGGCCAGACTTGATTACACTTGCCGCAACTCAACAAACTCTCGCTCCAAATATGTATGTGGCAAGTGCCAGAGGAGGAGAGAGGTGGGAGCATAATTGACATTGACAGCGACATCAACAGCTGGGGGGAATTCAATTGCAAATTAATAAGTTAAATTAACAGATTTGCGCTGCGGGCAACCATTGAAATTCATTCGTCTGCACACGCCAAGTGAGTATTTAATGGCTCACTGACTGACTGATTGACTGATGAATGGATGGTCTGTGGAGGGGGGTTCTGGGGGGCCTGGCGAGGCTCTGTCTGCCCTGGACTGGGCTCTGCTCTCGCTCTTTCTCTCTGCAGCCAATTGGTTTTTGGATGTGGAACCATTCGAATGGCTTGAACAAATAATTTCCACGCAGCTAACTTAATTTGTCCCTCAATCTCCGACTGTGAGACTCACGAGCGGGTGACTCACTTAATGGCCAACTCCTGGCTACACTGAGAATAACTTTGTACCCTCAAAAATATATGTAGATCCAAATGGAGAATAATATCTGAATTTAATCAAATCGCTGTAAAATCTGAGTTTTTTCTTTATGTACACTTTTTTAGTGTCAGATAATTGTCAGATTAATATTAGATAATTTTTTCTCACAGTGTAACACATGTACATTTCTGTTGACCCTTGTTCACACTTCTTTCCCGTATTGCTCGTAATTTCCTGTATAACTCGTTCGAGTCAACAGCTTGATCCTTTCGCAGGCAGAAACTTTTCAATGCAATGCAATGGAATACGAGGTAGGTGAGGAGGAGGAAACTTTTCTGTTTTGGATTTTAAAATTGTACTAAGCTGAGGCTTAAAGCCAACGTTGCACTTGCCTTTTATTCCTCGTTGCCTTGGTAGCCGCCAACTGACAGCCATCAGCCATGCTGTGGCACGGAACGGATAAAGTTTTGTTGCCGAGAAACTCATTTAGCTTGCAATTAATTAGTGGCAGCATCAGGCAGAGCAGAGCTAAATTTGTGTGTTTTAATTTAACCAAATAGAGAGCCAGCTTAAGACTTTTAAGGGCGTGTACAACATGAACATGGAGCAGCATACTTTCCCATGCAGGCAGTGGCAGGGGCAGGGGCAGAGGCAGAGTGGGAACACTATGCCTTTAGTAGTCGCACCAGGCGCGAAATGTAAATGCTTGACCCAATTGGCAGTCGGGTCAGGGCGGCAGCAACACCAACACCAACAACAGCCCACAAAATCATTTAAAATGTTCCTCCCCTGCTTCGAGGGGTGGGTTTTGGGTTTGGTGTTGGTGTTGGTGCTGTACTTGGGGCCTGAAAGTTCACTTCGAGGGGTTGGCAACGACAACTTGAACACAATTTGATAACCTACATTTGGGGGGGCTTCTGTGCTTGTTCTTGGCAACATTAAAAATTTACACACGAGAGCAGCTCCGGGCAGAAGGCAGGGTGGATTGGGCGGTTGTCGGTTGTCAGTTGTCGGGAAAGTGGAACGGAGCGCTTGCTCGGTGTCCTTGAGCGTATGTTTTCATTTGGCATTAAGAGCATGTCAAGTGAGTCTGGACGGGACCAGGGAGCAAGGAGCAAAGAGGAGTCTGCCTGGCTGATGGCAGGAGGCGGTGGCGGTGGCGCAGGCGGAGACTGCGGCTGCGGCTGCCTACTAAGTGAGTTTTCGTTGACGCTTTTGTTTTTGTTTTTGCCCCTGATGCAGCCGCAGGAGTGGAGCCGGAAACGGATGTGTGCGTTTGGGTGTGTCGGATGGGATGCCTTCGCCGACAGTGGATGGTGAATGGCAGCACCAGAAAGTCTTTAAGTCTTTTGCCTTAATAGCTTCAGTTTTCCCTCAGTTTCCTGGCCACCGCTTGGCTGGTTCCGCATCCTTCACTCTTGGCTGGCTGCCTAGCCTGCACCCTTGTTTTGCTTGTTTCTCGTTCCCCCTTTCACCCCTTTCTGCTGAGTTATTGTCGTGCAATTTATTACGCGACGCACTGTTGGTGGCCCTTCCTTGCCGCGCCACATGGCGTATGCGTAACGAATAATCGTCATAAAACGTAGCACGTAACATGGTGCCCTGCTCTGAGCCGGGGATTTTAATTTATATGGCCCCATACGTATGATGCATGTTTCCTTGGTCAGGGAATGCGCTGCATACACATGTAAAATATTCGCCATGCAATTTGCAGGTATATTTTCCTTTGAATCTTTTCAGAAAAAACCGACTGCCCCCAATAACACCGCTGATAATTGCTTCACTGAATACACCTGGCAACATCAGCTTTAATGATTTCTTACCATCACCGACACCACACTTTGCCCTTGCCATGAAAACGATTTGTGACACATAAATACATAGGTTCCCAAGCGACCATTTCCGCTGTGCTTGTCGTGTCTACTGACAGTTACATGTGTTCTGGAATGATTGCTACATCACGCTGAAATTAATCAGGATTTGTATAATCTGTAGAGGTGAGCCAACACCAATCAGAGCGCCACAAGCAATCCAAAATGAGCTTGAAAACACACACACACACCCCCTACACATGTGCATACATATATGGTAATATTAAAATATAATATTCATTCAGAAATCCCACAAGTCCCACAGCAGCAAATTCCCCAACCAGCGGCGCAGCAACAGCAGAATAGTGCGTAATTTATTTCCATACAGATTTTGTTCCCTTTATGCTTTGGATTTCACAACAGCAAAAGCACCAGCAGCAACCGAGTACAGCAGCAGCATAAAAAAGGCCAAAAATTTCCCTCTTTTCAGATGGCGTACGCACTCAAATATTGACCGAATTTAGCTGGCGGACTCCTGCAGCATTCTCTTTGTTCCTTTGCTCACTGTTCGATTGTTTGCACTGTTTCACAGAGGCCTGTTTGCAGTACAATACACACACATATATGTTCAATAAAAGGCACTCCCGCTAGCCGACTACCATATAGTTTAATATTTAATATTCATGGTGCATATTTATAGATTAATATTATATGGAAGCAACCTATAATGACGGAGAGGTAAGCCCCCGTTTGGCAGTGGCTTTTTAGTGGCATGGACTTTCCTTAGATTAAATTTACCTTGCTGTAATTCTGTTCTGTTATGTTAACTGTGTTTTTGTTTTCATTGTGCCACGGCGGAACGGAGCTCGCTCTCGCGGTGAATTTACAACTGCCCTCGGGACTCTGCCATGGACTCGCCACTACAGTCGGCGGCCTCTGGCCCACAAAAACAAACTCCACTCCACGTGCAACTTAAAGTCAATAGCTGGTTTTTGTTGTTGCTTTTTTTTTTATGTGTGTGTTTTTTTTGCCTAATTTGTTGGATGCTCTGGTGTTTTCATTGAGTTGGCCAAAAGTTTGTGTGGCTGGCTTACCCAGTCGGGTCTGCTCTCCGCTCTCCGCTCTCACCAATCACCGTCTCTTCCCGATTTTATTGACACACACGAACGCCCAAGCACAGCCGCCCCTTTCCACCGTCTGTAAGTATGTTTGTATGAGTATGGGTGCGCGTGTGGGTGGAAATATTTTTAACTGGTTTTCTGCACTGCTTGGCACGTCTCACTTGGCGAATATCTCTAACGGCACTGAGCAGGACGACAGCCTCAACGGCGGCTAGTCCTTGGCATTTGGCTCGAGTGTGCCGTTCGTTTTTGGCGGCGTGTGACGTCACACGAAGCTCAGAGCATCTGCAGTGCAAGTGCAGTGAGAGAGCCACAGAGAGCGAGAGAGGGCGAGCGCCTGCGCCTAGCCAAAAGCTTTTACAGTGGGGTGGAGGGGGAAGGGTAACAGGACCCCACTCGCAATCGTAGCCCCGACCTAGCCAAGCCATGGACAAGTGTTTGTTTACGTTTTGTGTGGGCATCCTCTTGATGGGATCGGATCCCTTGTTGCTCTTGCTCGCACTCGCACTCGCACCCGCACCCCAGCCGAAGGTCAGAGTTTGGTTGATTCGCCGAATTGCATTCGCCACCC